TTGTTCAATAGTCTTGCGAAAGAAGCAGTTCTCGCTTAAAGAATCTTTAGAAAAAAAGTACAAAAAATTCTAAAGAAAAAAAGGGACCCAAAAATTTTAATCTCACATGGATATTTAATTTTATACTAATATTTTTAATGTAACACTTCATTTATAAAGATTTTATTTTGTGAAACGTTTATACATAAAAGTACAATGATTATACGGCTTCTTTAATCTATTGTTTCATCTTCGCATGGTTTTCGTTTATAAAATATTTGTGCCTCTGGATATTTTTCTCTGGAAGCTTTATGCAATATGTGTAACCTAAATCTGTTAACGTACAAGTATTAGAGTAACGGAATAAGTATATGTAATTTGATTAAAAATACGTTTCTTACATGAATTTTTAATTACATATTTTATTATACTAGAAATAAAAAAATCATGCTTGCGCGATGTGATTCTAATAATTTACCGACATGCACAAAATGATGACTTTACCGGCACTCGAAAAGTATTTTGACTACGTAATTCTGGCGTTTAACGCGAATGCAGATGGCGATACTAAACAGCAAAAAAAGATTGCCGCATTGTGTGAAACGCGCGGCGCGAAATATTGCATTTCGTTTATCGTTCTATACAAAAAAAATTTGTGAAAGTGTTGTATTCGCGATTAACAGTTCGGTGTTGATGAATACTAATCAACGCAAGTATAATTTGTTGTGCATTGGATATCTCTTCAAACTCTGTACATGCATCGTTTTCGAATCGTCCTGATCGCACGTTCCGATAACACAGTGATCCAAAAAAAATCGTCGAATATATTTCATACGATTAGAATGGTGCACAGTATCGAGTGACTTTTATTTATTTGAAGCGCGATGTATTTTTGTGCGGACATTTATCGAAAGGAATGCACGTGCTTCTCCAAATTGAGGCGAGGTAAGATTGCAAAATATCGAAGCTTTATGCAATGTGTGTAACCTAAATCTGTTAACGTCCAATTATTCGAGTAACGGAATAAAAGATAAAGATTTTGAGATCGTACAAGTTTGTATGATATATATTAATATCAATCTTTATTATATATTTATATATTTATTTATTTATGAGTCTTCTTTTTCTTTTTCTCAACATCATTTATTTATTTATTTATTTATTTAGTTCGCTCTCAGTCTTTTAAAATGCAAAAGTAAATATTATAAGATTTGACTTTGGAAAAGCGCGATAAAACATTCGAATCCTTCGTAATTCATATCATTAGCATAATATACTATGAATTTTCTACGTTATACATTGAATCGAAATTACGCGAAAGAGGAAAAAAAGAACAAGCCTATGAATAGACATTTCCATCCTTTACTAAAAGAAAAAGAAATTAAAAATATCTCTCCATTTTTTCTCTATTTCTTCGGGCAAGTCTACATATATAACCAATATGATTAACTGATTCCATCTTTATATATTTATCATTATGTGCTATTAATTAAAGCCGTAGACAATATTCAGAAATCAAAGTTGTGCGAACGTTGCGCGCAGGAATGGCCATGCGCAGAAATGAATGCGCAGTGGTTCGGCCGCCATGTTGGCACGTGACTGTACGTCATACGCGTCATAGTACGTCATACTCGACATACGTGAATCGGAGTCAAACGCAGTTACACGGATCGTCGTACATCCACATTTTTCGCGTCTTTTAACCGTTTTTAAACGAATATCGCGAGTGAACGAGCGTCGAGAGTGTCCAAGGATGATCGTGCGACTTTCATAATATGTCGGTGAAAGTGCGCGACAACTGTTTTTCACAGTTCAGTGATAGCGCGATCGCGAAGATGGAGCGAAGTTGCGTCGCGTTATTCGCGCCCTTGATGATGATTATCGGATGCGAGCGAGTATCGGGAGTGCCAAATAAAGTGTCGCGCGTTCGCGTTGATAATATCGTGTAAATTTGTGTGCTTCCAGATCGGAATGGGACGTCCCGAGGCGAGCGAATGGAGCGGCCTGTGAAACAGCCGGCGAACGGTGAGTAGATTTGATTTATCATATTTGTGTGACAATTCGTGCTCATTCGACGCTTATACAGCATCACGATGTCCCGAATTACGTTCGGACAAATCGGCGCCGCATCATAATTCGATGCGATGCCGTGCAATTCAAATAAAGTCGATCGCGTGAAGATGGTTATGCTAGAAGCGATTTCAAATTTATTTTATATACGCGCAGTGCTGCACAGCCTATCTCGTAGGGCTACCAACTGTCAAACGATACATTTTTCGATCTAACCTAACCTAACCTAACCTAATCTCTCAATGTCTTTGGATGTCGAATGTAAACACAAGCGTATGCTGCCTGGATTGTATCATGCTTTCAAAAATAATATTTAATTATTTCATTAGTGCATTACATTTTATTACGTAGTATATTAATCGCATTAAATGTGCGACGTACAGTTTTACACATTTTAATGAGGAGCATATAATATAATTGGTTAGGTTAGATTAAATTAAAACAAGCTGCTGTGATTCATTTAACGTAATAGGATTAATTTGACGAATGTGCAGTTATTGAAGTTACATGATATTTGTGGACACATTTTTAAAGTAATCATGAGTGTCTTATCTCATCTCGATTATATGAAATTAAAATATAAAATATTTATGTATTCCACATTAACGTTATTCATTACAAGTACTATATTACTACATTACAAGTACTTTTCTTATATCTCAATTATATTCAACCATTTATTTCATCGATGAAGCTTTTCATATATCACAGACAATATGATACTGTGTGTGGAATTTTACACAGGTAATACATGGCACAAAAATAATTTGCTCTCAAGTATTGTGCGCATTTCTCAAAAATAAATCAAATTAAATTATTTTCAGAATCCAGAAATCGCTACATTGCCAGGATTGTATCTTATTATAACTGCGATATTATCACCTTTTAATATGTGTGCGCAGTATTACATACATAAAATATATAAATTTATTTGAAACGTACTGAAATCTATATCTTATTTATAATATTCATGATATTATAAAAGAAAATTGCAACTCTAATGAAACAGAGCGGTGGAATAATTGGTTGATACTTATGCTGGTCTACAATATTTATCCTTTTTTCACCATTAGACTTTTGGTGCTTTTTTTATTATACAGATGTTATCTGTAAATATAGTACTCCTAATGTTGTTTCTGTATCACTGTAAGCATACAAAAATGATAGCATTTTCAGGTAATTATGTTATACTTATATATCATAAGAAAGAGAAAATAGAATTAAAGTTGAATACTGAATGTGCTCTAAAGTAAATCTCATCTAAATAAATAAATGCATAAATGTGCGCTCCACATTCCTCATGAACAAAATACATATATAATATTAATCTTTATGTATTATTTTTAGATTTGTTTTTTATTCTTTTAAATTCTCTAGATGCACTTTTCATTTCTCCTCTCTTTCTTTTCAACTACTAAATATACTACTAATCTATCATTTTTAATATAGATCTGTCATTTTTAGTGTACATTATTGCAGTAAGTGGAATAAAGAGCAAATCTTTTGGCACATTTAAAATGTACAGGAAAGTCAGTTTTATCTGATGCGTTTTTTTCAATAGAAATATGTAAAAAAATCTGAAAAAATTCATACGTCTTTTTAAATTTTATTCTTTCTAAATAAAAATTAGAATAATAAATTTGCAAAATAATTTGCTTTAATATATTTTTATTGCAAATATATGAAGTAAAATGCTCAAGGTGCATCACTATGAAAACATCGATAGAATAAAAAATAGATCGTATACGAAAAAATTAAAATATTTACACTACATATTTGATATAGCATTTAATCGATATGTGCAGTAATACGATAAAATCTAATTTTCTCGAATTTTTTCACGAAATTTAGACTACTAAAAAAACATCAAATATTCAAATTGTTCAATAGTCTTGCGAAAGAAGCAGTTCTCGCTTAAAGAATCTTTAGAAAAAAAAGTATAAAAAATTCCAAAGAAAAAAAAGGACAAAAAATTTTAAATCTCACATGGATATTTAATTTTATACTAATATTTCTAATGTAACACTTCATTTATAAAGATTTTATTTTGTGAAATGTTTATACATAAAAATACAATGATTATACGGCTTCTTTATTCTATTGTTTCATCTTCGCGGTTTTCGTTTATAAAATATTTGTGCCTCTGGATATTTTTCTGTCAGAAAATGCAGTTTTCCATATTTCGCTAACAATTGTATTTTTGTTTCATCGGAGTTTCTCGTTCGTTCAAATCCAACATTCCAATTTTCTTTTGTAAGACGGAAGTTTAGTAAAGAATGGCAGTAATTTCTTCTTTTTCAACACCATTCTTTTATCCATTACATACTGCATAAAATCGAGAGACTCATTGGACGGTACTTCTGGTTTTCTGATTTGCGCTGGTGAAACAAGTACTACTGGATAATTCCCATTTTCTGATTTAACTTTGACTAAATGCTATCATTTTTCATCTGCAAATTGTTGATATTTCTGCAAATATTTCCATTATTTTGAGATTGATTTGTTTCATGATATATTGCAATAATTAAAGTATGATTACTGATATAATCTGCCATGAGACTACAGAGAAAGCCAGCTTTAATTCTTTATTTTGTTCAATATTTTTAATAATATAATAATTAAATTAAAGTTCTATGAAAATATGCTTGAAATACTAAATAAAAAAGATTGTTTCTTATGTACAACCTTATAAAGTTTAAGTAAATAAAAAATCATTGTTAATAATATACATATATAAATTGATAATTAAATAAAACAATTAATTAATTAATCGACACAATCCACGTTTTTTTTAGCTTTATGTCTAACATATATATATATATATATATATATATATATATATATATATACTTTTTATTTAATTTATATTAGAAAGAAACATTTTTTATTTATAAAAATATATATATATGTATATATATTTTTATAAATAAAAAATGTTTCTTTCTAATATAAATTAAATAAAAAGTATAATATGCCTTTAAATACTTTATATTCACACCTATTGCAATAAACCAACCAAAGAATGCTTTTACATTCCTCCTTGTACTTTGGCATACATATCCTTTATGCCAATTATCTCGCAACATGCTTTTATCGCATGATGACAAACAAGTCCATTATCCTTCATGAATTTTCTTTACAAATATTTTTATATTCTCAAACTGTGTAAAGAAATCATGTAACACTGAAAAATACAAAGTGATATTAAAAGAGAAGAAATAAATTTTATATTATATAGTATTGACAAGTATTTTCTTACCAGTGTGTTTCTTATATGTAGGAATATACATTAATCTTTGACCAGCCCTATTTTTAATCGTCTTTAGGGATGCTTTGGCTTTTGATAACGCAAATCCAGCCAATCTATTTCCATTCCCAGTTACTATAAATGAATTGATTCTAGTCTTACGTGCTAAATTACTGGTCATACAAATTATCATTTTGTTTTCCAAAATCCAGGTTTCAAAACTTTCAAATGTATCTGCAGAAAACAAAGATATTAATTATATAAGATTCTAATATTTAGAACTGAAACATCAAAAAAAAAATTGAAAATAGACATCGTATCACATGATTTTTGTATGTGTGTAATTTAACCATTATAATCCAATAATAGCATAAATATTAATCTTTTCCAATAAGATCTGATTCAATGCTTCTGCCATCCATTGTAACACTCTTCCAACCACATTCCAATGGCGATAATTTTATTTGCATTGGTCTGGTCTGACTTTGTGGTAATTCCATAAGTTTTTGCTTTCTTTCAAGATTTACAAGCAGTTTTTGCTGTTGAATTAATTCTTTTCCTCTAAACACAGGAATGTTTAGATCAGGAAATTGTATCGGAATTTTTCCCAAGCTAATAATTTGCTCCTTATTTAGGTCTCTCTTTTCACTACTCTTCTTGCTCTACCTCTGCGTCTTCCTGTATTACTGATACTTGTCACACCCTGTCATAATTCATCTTCAGGTCCTACATAGAATAAAAGCACAGTGAAATATAAATGCAATGAAATACACTATTTTCTACTGTAAATATAAACTATTATCAAAATATCCATAAAAGTTCTATTTATTATTCGCAAAGAACATAGAATTTCTCACATTATTTAATAAAGTGACTATTTTTAATAATGAATGACTGACAAGCAATAAATTAAACAATATTAAACAATAATATATCTGAAAAAAATTTCATAATTTTATTAGAGTTAAATTGATAAATTAATTTTAAATACACATTATATGTTAATTACATATAATGATTTAGAGACAATGATATATTTCATTTGCGTTACCATTGTTTACAGATTGAACATTTTTTATCAAATTATTTACAACTCTAAATATGTAGCATACGACAAGCCATTTTTAAAATCTATAAAACAAACAACAAAGTTGTTCATAGTTTTCACTCTGTTTTGTCATAGTCTGCTTTTAGGCGATTTCTGAAAGCAATGCATCCTATAAACAAATAATTATATTATATATTAATCACACATTATCTATCACCACCATCGCCATTATTATATGTAATTTAATATAGTCTTTATCACAACGGTTCATCATTGAAAATAAATTATAACACAAAAAATATTCTAGTTTATTTTTAAATATTATTTTTAAATATTAAATAATATAAGTATTAAAATTAAAATAAAAAATTGGCTCAAATAATAATAATTAAAAATTAACTAAACAATTGATAACTAAGAGCCAATAAAAGCGCGATAACTGGAGCACAAGAAACATCTTTTCTCTTTTAATTATTAATATATTTCAAATTATTAGTATATTTTAAATTACTCGTCACAATACATACAATAAATACGAACGTTATCTTTTAATCTACCTTCAACGTGATTTACGACATTAATATTATTACACATTCGAAAATATTAGACAATGACATATGAAAAATTATATAAATCAGATGCAGATAGCATTTATAATATCTGCATGCCGATTATGAAACGATTTATATAATTTCATATTTATTCATATTGAATTTTATAGTTATGTCTAATATACTGTTATTGTCTAATATTTTTTAATGAGTAATATAATGATACGCCGTTAAATTTCTTTTCTAGATTACGATTGCGATCAACACCGAAAATTATTTATTATAACTATATGATTAATTAACTTTTATAAATAACACATAATTAATATCTATATACAAATCGCGACAAAAATTCTCTATCGCATTTAATTGTAATTTATTCATTTAATCAACTAAGAATTATAGTAACAGAAATCTAAAATAATAAATTATTATTTCGATATGAAATCGATTTTTACGAGCAGAAATTATTTCTTTAGTATTTATAGATATTTATAGAATCAAATACAATATATCTGCGATGCTTTATTTTTCAATCATTGAAATATTTTGAATTGTGAGAACGCACAATAAAATAATTGAATCATGAATCTAAACATAATGAAAGACTCCATACATCAATCTTTTAATAAATAATCCTATAATTAAAAAATCTATGTAATCTAAAATACTTTTATATACTTAAATATATTCCATATATACATATATGTATATATTGAAATACGTAAAATATTTCGATGACGAACAAACAATAACCGATCTTGGTGCCGTAATAGCGCGCTAATGTTTATATGCTATAGTCTTGAAAAATGTTTCGATAAAAAAATAATAATAACACGGTCTTTCGGACTAACTTTTTCGGTTCTATTATTATTCGCGCGTCGACACTCAAAGAGTAAAGTAGTGGTATACAAGACGCTCCATTAAATCCTTTTCTAGACGCGATTGCGATCAATATCGAAAAATTATTTGCTGTATTTATTATATTATATTATAATATATAATATAATATAATATAATACAATATATTTCGATATGACGAACGAACAGTAACACGGCGTTCGACCTTAACGTAAACAATAGCGCGCTAGTCATACGGTCTTAGTATCATTCACAAAGCGACACTCAAGCAGTAAAGATCGTAGCGCGAAATATGTCGTATATTCTTATAAGTTTATATGCCATAGTCTTGAAAAATGTTTCGGTACAAAAATAATAATAACACGGTCTTTTGGATTAATTTGTTCGGTTCTATTATCATTCGCGCGATGACACTCAAAGAGTAAAGTAGTAGTACAAGACGCTCCGTTAAATTCTTTTCTAGACGCGATCGCGATCAATATCGAAAAATTATTTGCTGTATTAAAATATGTAAAATATAATATAATATAATATAATATAATATGATATAATATAATAAAAATACGTATTGTTTACGCCAAGATTGATATTATTATCTGTTTGTCATCGAAATATCTTACGTACGTTAACATATTTATATTACCTTATATTGTAATATAAAATATAATATAATATATTTCGATATGACGAACGAACAATAACACGGCATTCGATCTTGACGTAAACAATAGCGCGCTAGTCATACAACGTTATGGCCTTCGTATTATTCATAAAGCGACACTTGAGCAATAAAGATCGTAGTGCGAAATACGTCGTATATTCTTAAATTAATTATTAATTAAACGATTATTGTATCATGACTTTCAATTATATTAAACTTTCGACTATAATCGTATTAATATACATGTATTGCATATATGTATCAATAATGAAAGTAACAAATTCATTACGCGTAATAATTAGTTTTACAAAATGAATTATTTTGAGTTTTATAAAGAAGATTTATAATTATATATCTATTAATTATATATTATATTATATATAAAATTATATATAATATAACCCTCCCACGGGGTACACCTTGTCGCGGTGGGAGGGCTTAGTACTTGGATGGTGCCTTGAAGTTTATTTTAAATTTTTTAATTTAGAATAAATCTCAAGGAGCCTGAAGAGGAAGCTAAGTACCCTTTCGCGTCGTCGGTGCCGTCAAGGTGTCACGGACGGCGGCGTCTCGTTACCGCGTTTTCGCGTTTAGCTTTTTCGCGTCATCGCGTTATCGCGTTTTCGCGTTGGACTTTGTCGCAATCCCACTTTCACAAGTGAAACGGGATTTTCGCTCGTACCGAAACCGGGAGTGCCGTTTAAAATATATATATATTAAATATATACATCGCGCGACAAAACAGAAAATTTTTAATTGTATCGAATAGTGCGGGAGTGCCGTTCAGTATCGCGCGTAAAAGTGCGAAAATAGCGATATAAAAATATCGCTCGTGAGTGCGGGAGTGCCGTTAAGTATCGCGCGTCTAACTGAGAGGAGGAGGAGGCCTAGGAGAGGCATCAGGCTCCGGCAGAGCAACCTTCTGGTAAGCAATTTATTTATTTGTAATTATATATTAAATATTAAATATATTTATTATAATTTAAATTAAACAATTAATCGCAACAATTAATTTGATTTGTTTATTTATATGATTTAAATAAGAGAGAATTAAAGAAAAAGATTTTTAAATGAAAGCTATAATCTTGTAAAGATATAAGCTTTTATAAAATTATAAGAGAATTATTAGTAATGTTCTTTAAAATTTATAGAATTATTTTATTAATCTACTATTATTATATGCATCGAATACAAAATTCAATGTATACAATAATTTTTGAAATATTAATTATTTTGAACGCTATTACATTAGAATCTTCTTTTGTTTGTAGATCGATGCGATAACCCTGATGATGCTACAATCCTGATGATCTGAGAGGAGGAGCAGGCCTAGGAGAGGCATCCTGCACCAGCGGAACAACCTGATGGTGAATATTTATTATTTATATATCTACTGTTAAAAATTGTACACACAATAATACGGTTTTATTATTTAAATGAATTAAAGAAAAATTAGAAAGATTTTTATAAAAATTATATAAAAGTTTCTATATATATAATTAAAAGATAGTTTCAGAATTTATAAAATTTTTCCATACATGTATACAACTGCTTATTATTTTACACCGGATATGAAATTCCGCATAATAATATTTTTTTGAAATATCGATTTTGTGTATTGTTATAAATGAATTTTATATTTGTATGTTACAGACAACGAGCTTCGATAACAACAATTCCGCTGTTGCGCATCAGTGCCGGTGAGTGAACAAAAACTTTTTACTTTAAAGTAACGGATTCGTAGAGATTGTAGATGTAGATGTATATGTAGATTGTAGATTGTAGATTGTAGGTAAATCCGTTGCTTTAAAATGGATGAGTTAGGATAGATTGAATTAAATAAATTTTTTATAAATTCTCTTTCGAAACGCTTTGCATTTAAAAATATATTTAAATATTAATTAAAAAAAGAAAATCAAGAAAAGATTATTTTTATAAAGATTTTGTGTCTAATTTATTAAATAAAGAACACACATTAATATTTTTATCAATTTTATTAATTTCTGATGCTACTTTATTTTTATAATGAGTACTTATCTTCTAATTTCTTATTCATCGTAGCTCATCCATCGTAAAATTTGTTTGTAGATATTATTTTTAAACTTTATTTTAATTTAAGATAAAGCCAAATGATTCATTAATTAAATAAATTGTAATATGATAGATGTTATACACACTTTAATTTTATATTTTATTATAAATTATATATTACTATAAATATTTACTAATTATATATATTATTATAATATCAATCAATTTTGATCGATAATCTGCACAGAGACTTTTATATAATAAGAATTTTCTACATATTATACTAAATTGCTAACAGTTGAAGTTATGTTAAATTCTGTGATACCCGACATAAATTCTGCCCAGTTATAAATGATTGCCCTTGCTTTACCATGAGATATGATCGTGTTAGCAGTCTAATATAATATATAAACAT